GATGGTGTCGGTGGGTCGTCGCGCACCATTGTAAAAAGGAGATGTGAATACCCGACGGTGGGGCCAGTATTGTCATATGCTATAATACACGATCCACTGAAATTCACTGAGGAATACATACTTTGCTAGACTCACTTGCGAACCATTAACACTCAAGTTTCCTGACCAACTCCTACACCATTTCTATCACTAAATGACATTAGCGGAACCCTTTTCTCTACAATAAGAAAAGATTTAGATATTGTGTGATTAAATAAACTGATTCTCTTGAACTTCCATGTATATTATTTAATTTTCAAAAAAACTTAAACTGTGTGGATAAAGGCATTCCCACAACAGTGCATAACGGGAATAAAATTATTTTACGTTTATTAACCGTGAGGGTAAGGAGGGTTGAGTTGAGGCTTGCCCTAACTCAGTTATGTCTAATTTTGGCGCTGATAGCTGCACTGCCCACTCGAACGTCTTAAATGCTCCCTACACACAAACAAACAAAAATATTTTAAAAGAAACAATGTTTCAAAATCCCAAATTATATATCTGTGGACCTCAACGGGGAGACAATATATCTTAATTACAGTATTTCCTGCAACAGAAAAAAAAAATATAAAAGCTTATGTGGGTTAAAGTTCCAGCCCAGGGAAATTTGATTGCAACCGTGTCATATCAGGTGTTTCCAAGAAACGAAAATAAAATTTTATCACTGTCAACGGGTGTTTTTGTATGCAAATATTTAAGACTTCAATCGAGGTGAAAAAGAAAACTTTTCAAATAAATAGTTTAAAACAGGTTTGGCCAAGCAGCGGCCTGCGAACCGGATACGGCACGCCACTTTGAAAATTGTGTTCCACAGAATGGATCACAGATTAACTTAATTCTTTATAGAATCACATTTCATTTTCATTCTTGAGATAAACGCCTATTTGAAATGTATACACATTAACGTTTTGGCTCTATGTGCCATTTCTTATAGATTGATTTTTAACAAAAAAAATGAAAATGAGTAACCTCAAATTATAAATGCAATTCTAAAAAAATATCCAACTATGGTAACTAATAGCATTAATTGATTTTTTATTAAAAACACAGATGGTTAAAAAAAAACAACTAAATTTACGCAAACTTGTCTACCGTTTTTCTTTGATTAATGTCGAATGACGAAAAACTAAATTTTGTTATGCGCTGAAATGTATCCGTGCATTATGAATTTATGAACACTTTCACCTGGCTACTATCAGAACTGGTGGTTCTAGCATGGGGTCTTGTTTCAGTTAAAAAAACACTGACAATTATAATAATAAAAAAGAAAATGCCATGTTCCATAAGGTAATATGTCAATTTAGGATAATAAATCATAAATTATTTTATTATGATTTCATTATTTTTATAAAATTTAAAATCCAATCAAATCAAATTTTATCTCAAAATGCATATATTAAATAGTTAACCATGTAATACAATCTTGATCGATGTCTAACGGAACAATTTAATGGCATCAAACATGTTTGTGTGTTGTTCAATAATGAGAATGAGCTAATACTGACATAACGCCAAAGAACCGATAAGATTTAAGTACGTTCGGATACCTAAAAACAGTCATTGTTATTTTCTATTTTTTTCTTTTTCGTAAATCGAATAAATTTAAATGCGCAAAAAATAATTTAAATCATCTTTTATTTTAGTTACATTTAAAGTAATAACAAAGGAACTATTTTAAGCAGTTTATCCGAATTTAAAAGCCATGAAAAAAATTATAATAAAATTACGATTTAAGAATTACATCGTAATCACATTTATTGGGAAAAATCAAACATTAGTTGTGTAGTTTGTTTTTAGTGCGTTGTTAATATTGCGACATAAAATTAAAATTGATTTCTTCTTAATAAACACGCAAATGACGTCATGGTACGAATCGCCAATGTTAGCCAAAACTCTTAACTTTCTTTAATTTAATAACCGTGCCTTACAAAACTCATAAAATAAAGTATTTCCCCCTACTTAAAAGTAATATGAATAATTTTTTTGGTACTAACTAAGGCATTTGCCGAAACGTTTAAGATAAGATAAGATGTTTTTTGAACCAAACAAATGGAAATGTTTTTTGATTGCCTTTTACATTTTGAGCACATAAATAAAATATTTTGAGCACAAGACATCTACATTAAATTAATTCACGAGTGAAAAAAACCAGCTAATCAGTGAACTTTCTTAGTCATATCAGAGACTTCTTAGTTCTCATTTAGTTTTGTTATTTCTGGAGCAGCACACTGGTAAATTTGTAGAGATTTTATTCTGTATGATCATTATTAAAGTTGAACATACATTGTTTTATTTACACAATTTTTTTGGTCTCCTAAATCTACTTGAAAGCTTTATCGCAGTTCAAAACTTGTTTAATAAGTTTATTTGGCTCTTTAATCGTTAAAGACCTTACCTGTGGTCTCTGGAGACAAACAATAATTTCTGTATCAAACCTCACCTTCCGTATGAAAAGTCAGATATCGTCTGAAGCCAGTATTTCCTTTTCCCAGTTATTTGATTGGGTGATTGTTGAAGAGGGAAATCGCTCTATTCCTAAGGTTGAAGTTAGTTTAAATATAGCATACAGGTTTTACTACCCTCAAGTACCATCCGGTTGAGCCCTTCCATGTAAGAGGTAATTCAACTTAACTCAATCCAAGACGACACTTTCATTAAGTTTTACACTAAACAGGTTGATGGCTGGAGTTGTTGATCGTGTTAAAAATATGTTAATAAAATTGTTAACAGAAAAAAGGGTGGGGGGGGATAAAGAAAAAAAAAGTTTCTTTTAAAAAAAGTTGTAGGCACAGTGCAGACAGAGGCGCTCTTTAGATTGAATTGAAGGAATGATCTCATCCTTTTCAAACTTTAAACATGCTCTTTGTGCTCCATTTGCACTAGACTTAAAAGCCTAAACAAAATTTTAAAAAATGCACAATAGTTTTTGTTTTTAATCTAATAAACAGAAGGAAGAGCCTGGCTGACCAGTTACTATATCGATATTGCTTTACACAGTTATTGCTAATGAAGTGCTACGTTCGCCCCTAAGATCCTTAAAAGCGAACATAAGCTACGAGTCCATTCACGATGAAGTCTGGATGTACGTGAACTTTTTGACAGAGTCAAGTTGGAAAACGCTTGATGGAGACGGAAATGCGAACCAAGACGATGAACGCTTTTGCTGATGCTTTACGGCGATTCCTCTTGGATTTCGGGAATGTTTAGTTTCCGACTAATGGTACCGTCTTATAAATCTCACTCCAAATTGCTCTGCCATTTTGTCCAAACGCATTCCGCAAATAGGACTAATTTTGTATGAGCGAAACTAATGATCAGCCTTGGATAAAATTTTCCTCCGTCAAGAGACGGATTTCCAACTACCACTGCCCAACACATCATTTATTTAAATATTAGGACTGCATGGTGGCTGGGGCGATGCACCTTCGATAAATACACATAAGCGTTCAAGGTGGGGGGGGGGGGTTACGTTTCTTTTTTCCGCCATTTAAAGTACTTTAACCCCCCCCCCCCCCCGCCCACACACAAATAATTAAAAAATCGGTCCACAAAAGGAAAGACATACTGGTAGTTACATCTGAATCCGTCAGATGTCTAGGCAAACTTCTAGTTATTTCATCTAACACATATACAAATCCTCACACACTCCAATAATTACAAACAAAAGAATGCAGCCAACGTTTTCTAGATGTTCATTATGGCTTTTCTAGAATATTTTATCTTTTTTTTCTACTTGGTTTCATTCATGAAAACCTTTGCCCCAAGAAGAGCATCCAGAACTTCAGTAAATTTTAGTACTGAGGACAAAAATATGTTGTATTTATTTATTATTTTTAAACATTTTGAAAACATATGAGTAAGTGAAGCCAGGCCAGTTTTTTTAAATTTCAATTTCGAAATTTGAAAATCTAGACCGCACGAAAACTTGTACAGGTACAACAGTTCTCTATTGATAAATTATTCTTATTAGGATGCAGCACAGCAATGCCACATCTACTGGCGTATTTGAATACAGGCTTCAATTAGTAGATGCACAGTATATGGACTCCAACAGGTTCTGCAACAAAATTATCAGTTTCGGACAGGCCCCCAAATGTTACGACCGTCTTCCGTTTGTCTAGGACTCCTTCAAATGTAACGACCGTCTTCCGTTTGTCTAGTACTCCTTCAAATGTTACGACCGTCTTCCGTTTGTCTAGGACTCCTTCAAATGTTACGACCGTCTTCCGTTTGTCTAGGACTCCTTCAAATGTTACGACCGTCTTCCGTTTGTCTAGGACTCCTTCAAATGTTACGACCATCTTCCGTTTGTCTAGGACTCCTTCAAATGTTACGACCGTCTTCCGTTTGTCTAGGACTCCTTCAAATGTTACGACCATCTTCCGTTTGTCTAGGACTCCTTCAAATGTTACGACCGTCTTCCGTTTGTCTAGGACTCCTTCAAATGTTACGACCATCTTCCGTTTGTCTAGGACTCCTTCAAATGTTACGACCGTCTTCCGTTTGTCTAGGACTCCTTCAAATGTTACGACCATCTTCCGTTTGTCTAGGACTCCTTCAAATGTTACGACCGTCTTCCGTTTGTCTAGGACTCCTTCAAATGTTACGACCATCTTCCGTTTGTCTAGGACTCCTTCAAATGTTACGGTCTTCTACTATTTTCTAATACCTCCGGTGGCGAATACTTTATGTCTAACCTAATGTCAGACCGGTTTGATTAATTCTCGTCTCTCACTTGGTCAAGTAACTCAAACACTTAATGGTTCATTGTAAACGAGCAGCTCCTATACTGGCTTGTTGCTGGTATGAGCCTGAATTGCCTGTCATGGCCACATGGGGCTTAAAAAAAAAAAAAAAAATTAAAAGAAAAGGAAAGCGATAGAAAAAAAAAAAAAAACTCAAATACATAAAAGAACGTGATTTATTTCTTAAAACCTTACTTTAGTTCAAAGTGATGGTGTCTTTAAGAGAACAAATTACCACGCCTAGTTCCAAATTACAAATTATCCATATTGTTGTAAATACATTACAGGCGTATGCTGAGAGAACTTGTTGCTATTATAAACCAAAAATCGAAAGGATAACCACTGGAAGCACAATGCCGAGGACGACGCCTATGATGTCCAGAATCAGTGCTGCTATGTAGTATGACTTGGCCCTGCTGTAATTGCCTTTGAGCCACAAAGTCTTTGCCTGTGAAATGGAGCAATATAAGCTTGATGTTGGTATTTTGCATTACTTTATTGACAATATCCCTTTAATAAAGTATATTTTTAAACAGTCTGAGAGCAATGAACAAAGCAGCTTGTCCAAATGTTGATATTCTTGGGCAGAGGTTCTCAACATCTTCGCACCACTTCTCGTGTTAAATAAGAGATAATTTTAACATTTTTACTCCAGAAATGTCATATCTAAACTTCGAAAATCTATCTGACTATGACAGATAAAAATAACTTTTTTTACTTTAGGCTTATCTTTGTAACACTTTGAGAGACTTGATGTCTTCTTCTTCTTCTAAATCTTAAGGGCCCACGATCAATTTATTGATCATTTTGGCTCCTATGCATGTAGATGGGATTTGAAATGTTTCTGTTACTGGTGCTGATGAGGAAATTTCACTGATTTCCAGCGCCACTTTGTGAGGGAATCATGCACTAGGGGTTTGAAGGCTTGAGGCAATAGAAACAAATGTGTCTAGTGTTGTCGCTTCAACCGTTCCTTTTGAAAGATTGTTCCAGTCCCAGATTTTCTTAGGCAGGAATGAGCAGCTCCTATACTGGCTTTTTGCTGGTATGAGCCTGAATTGCCTGTCATAGCCTCGTCGCTGTCTATGGGGGAGAGGGACGAGTTTCTGTTTAATGCTGGAACAGAGGACCGGCCCATTATTTATATTGTACATCATGGAGAGCCTGGATTGTCGTCGTCATTCCTCCAATGGTGACCAGCCTAGTGTTTCCAGCATGCTGCCAACACTAGAGGTATTCATGTAGCGTTTTAGGACAAAACGTGCTGCTCGTCGCTGGACCGCCTCCAACCTGTCAATGCTCTTCTGGGTAAATGGGTCCCAGACTGAAGATGCATAATCTAAAACTGGACGGAAAAAGGCTTTATATGCTCTTTCTTTTACACAGGAGTTGCCAAACTTTAGATTTTGCCTTAAGAACCCTAGGGTCTTGTTTGCTTGGTTACATACATTGTTAATATGCTCGTCCCAGCGGACCTCTCTTTGAATGGTAACACCCAGGTACTTTACGGAGGAAACTGGCTCAAGTATATGGCCGTGCAGTTCGTATTGGTAGTGTAGAGGAGTACATCTTCTACAGACTGATAGTGTCTGGCACTTGGCAGGGTGAAATTCCATGTCCCAGCTCATCTCCCACTCAGCTAACAGATTGAGATCCTGTTGTAGCTGGTCCTGGTCAGATCTGTTTGCGATCGTAATATACACCGCTGTGTCATCTGCGAACAGTCTCGCTTCTGATGTCAGTTTCTCGGGTAGGTCATTAATGTATTCTAGGAACAAACGGGGGCCCAGGACTGATCCCTGGGGGACCCCTGACTGCACATTGACAAAGGAGGAGCTTGTGCCGTTCACCACTACTGCTTGGCATCGGTGGCTGAGGAAGCTAGAGATCTATGTTTTAGTGGTGACTTGGAGACTGGAAAAAGACCCGGCTCAAATATTTCGTTATCAGGTAAATAATAAAATACAGTGGAACACCGTTGTAATGCCTTCACAAATTTAAAAAAAATTGAGTTGCAGAGTTTTTAGTTCTCGTTTGCGATGTGAGTCTCTGGTGACTTGTTTCTGTTCCCACGGTCTAAACCATTTTTCTACAAAGGCATACTACATTATTGCCTACGAGCCATTTCTCTCTTTCCTTAACACTGAAACCATTACTCTCGAAACTGACCTTTGAAACTTGACCCCATTTGGTAGATCAGTCTGTCTGGAGACGCAGCGTTTTCCATTTGGGCTATCTCCCCTTGTTCAATGATCTATGGAAGCACCACTCCGCCTCTATGTGACCTCGAAGCCACGTACTATTTTTAGAAAGCTTTAACAATGTTAGTGTCTAGATAACACCAACTCACAGAGAGGAGAGCTGAGGACATCGGTCAATTGAGTCAGTAAACATCAAGATTGATGGAAGTACTTTTCTTCCAACTTATGTTCTGCTCCATTGTCCGAGAGCCATCTGTATAGCTTCGGTTTCTGCATCAGTCAGATTACCTTCCAATCAGTCACGAAATCTCCTTATTCGGACATTCCCTATTGTAGCAACAGCCGTTTGTAATTACTTGACCACAGCGTCCTGACAGCACTTAATCGTTCACAAATCGGCCTCTTTCTAATCATCAATAAACTCGACTTTGTGGTCAAATCATTTCTAAGTGCCATAATCTAAACCTGGAAATGTCCCATCAATCCAAAGCATTTAGTGCACAAGAGCTTGGGGGGCTCGACATGATAGTTTACTAGGACTCGATATCTGCTCTTGAGATCTTGAGAAAGAGACAAGGCGCCACTCACTTAGTTGAAATCATCTTTGATGGCGTGTGCAAAAATCAGTGAACTAGGAGGCAATGTCACAGTGCAGTGGATCCCAGGCCACGTCAACGTCAGTGGCATTGAGAAAGCGGACACTCTGGCGAAAACCGTGGCTACCCAGCATCAGCCAGAAGTACCAAATTCTTCTTTGGGAACTAAGAATTGGCTGGTGGACCATTTCAGGATGAAGTGGTACAGGCAATGGGCAGACAGCACCACCGAAAGAGGCGTATTTTAAAACCAGCAATCTCCTAGCAAACAAGACCAATGGTGGGGGTTAGGCCGCAAATGCGCACCGAGCATTGCCCCATTGGCACATATTTCTGGTGGCTGGATAACAACAAGGATCCTACCTTCTGGCATTGCAGCCTGGTCCCGGAGACACTAGCGCCCCTTGCAAGGTTTCAAATGTCCTTCACTAGATGCCACGGGGAAGCCAGGGCGGTTGGAGATCCCTTTGTGAGGAAAATATTGTATGACTCAGCTTGGCAGATGGAGTTGGTAGCCAATTTACTATCCGGGGTCTTAAGAGAGTAATCTCAGACCTTCACCAGAATATGTGTGTTAGTAGTGCACAAGAATATTTCGTGTCAGATATGCTCTCATCAGCATAAACAGTCAAGTTCACAATTAGTACATATAAGACGATTAAGACGGTCATGGCTGATTTCGACTGCCGACACATATATTTATACTTTGTCGTATTGACTGTTGGTTCGTTCCAAAAACCAATAAATTTTTACGTTTACGAGTCGTACCGCTAGTTTTCATACACATGACTTGAGTGAAATGACCCAGTTTTTCGATAGTAGCTCTTCGGGTGTTTGAGAATTTCAATGCTCGTTCCACGCATTTTTGAGAATGCCTGTGATCAATTTTATGCTGATAATTTCTAATAGCGTCTGTTTCTTTGCTTTCAAAATCAGTGAGCATAATCATTGCATAACTTATCAGGCTCTTGTTCTATGAATGGTTTAAAATTTACTAGAACCATTTGAAATTCTGCCATAGAAAAGGGATCTGTGAATATCTTTAGTTGTGGACCCATTCATAGGGCACGCGTTCTGGTCTTTTAGGTAAGTTGGCTCCGGTCTCTGGCTTTGCTAGCTGACATCTGCAAAATGCATGCTAAGCTTCAATGAACGTTTGACACAAATAGCCACAGTGCAGTCAGCTGTTTTAAAAGGATGTGTGACATAGGGCCTACCAAAGCACGAGAGATTGTCCAGCAAATATCAGAACTTTCTTTCGTTAGAAATGTTGAGCCTTTTTTTACTTGGACTAACACACTTAGACATTTTAGTTTTAACGGATTAGCTACCGCTGTGCAAATCCTCATGCGGATGAATAAAATGTAGATCTCATTCAGAGAATAAACAACAGGAAATCAAAATTAAATTGAAAAAAATAAATACTAAATGGAAGTATCTGAGAGGACTGCAAGAGGAAGGAGACAGAACATAAGTAGGTGAAAGGTTTATTGCAGCCAAAATAAGAAAAGTAAGTCCACCGTGATTGGTCATAACGTTCGTTGTTTTGTTGCGTCCTTCCCCCCTCCCCAGCTTTTCTCATAGTTTGTTTCACCCATTTACTTTGAACTAAGCGGATTGCAGTCTCCCCCCACCCCCCCTTAATCACATTGTTTCACATATATCCAAATTTATATTCGCAAGGAGGTGACACTCGGCGCCACTATAATATAGCTTTTCGCCTCGTACCAACCTGTCCCCAGCCATCGACAAGAGGAGGATCGGCCCCCTAGTCCAGGATAGGTGCATCACTCAAGAGCCTCTCGTGATTGAAGATTTAAAAAATCCAGTATCACATTGTTACATCTAATTAATAGTATTTTCTATGACATCCTGATCGTCGGAACTTTTTTTTTATATTCCAACGCTTATGGTTTTTAAGGTTTTTGAGTTTTGCGTCGCCTGAGACTCTCGTTCAAGGAGTTTTTCAGTCTTTGGGCTGTGACCAACTTGCCGGAACCGTTCTGGGCCGTTCTCACCACGTCATGGCCTGAAATTTTGCAACCTGTCCAAGAATTTTTAACATGGAGAACGCGTAAATTGGATTTGAGAGCGTTTTCGTTTGTATATTTAAGCTTTTGATCGGGACATGACGAAAGGTTTCGAATGGTCAAAATTATGCAATGTCATTTTGTTGAGTTAAATTTCGTCACCATGTTGAGCTCCTCTTGTAATGAGGAGAACATGCTAGTCCTTTGTTAGTCAGTGATACGAGTGTAGGGTTTTAGTAAAGGTGTCAGTAGTTGATTGAGGAAGTTTTGTGAACAGCCGGGTGCAATGATAGGGTCCTGTGAATGAAGATTGTTTAACACTAATTTCATTGAACGCTGTTGGTTTCAAGCGAGGACCGAGTGCAGCTGTGCTGTAGTTATGCAGCTGTGCTGTAGTTATGCAGCTGTGCTGTAGTTATGCAGCTGTGCTGTAGTTATGCAGCTGTGCTGTAGTTATGCAGCTGTGCTGTAGTTATGCAGCTGTGCTGTAGTTATGCACCTGTGCTGTGGTTATGCAGCTGTGGGAGTGACAAGATAGAAGATCTCAACATTCGACGCAGAGAGCGTCCTTAACAGGAAAGGTCGTGACATCTTCCATTAATTAAAAACAGACACTTTTATTCAATAATTAAAATTACCTGGTATGACAAGTAAATGGTGAGTATGCCAATGGGAAAGCAGCAGAATAAAGCAAGACAATTGCTACACGCAATCGTTCGTCTGATATAATTGGGACGTTTTGGTAGCTGCAAGCACCAAACAAAAAAAAATGAATTAAAAATAGATCAATAAAATAAATTAAGATATATATATATATATATTACTAAAGACAAAACAAATCAAAACATAATAAATTATGTGCAAAAAAAGCCATCCCAAACACAAACATATTCGTTAAAGGGATCAACAATTTTACGAAAATAACCTGTTGTGGACACATCAGTTTTCGGTTCGAAAAAGTTGTTCGAAAAGTAATTGTTGAATTAAGGAAGGCGTTGTTGCATGAGCGGCGAAGGCCTTTCAACATGAATAAGTTTATATGGCAATTAACACAAAGTAATTCCTTCTTTTTTTTAAAAAATAGCTTCTCGAAGGAAAAATTCAAAGAATCAAAAACGAAGAAAATTGTTAATACGCAAAAAGGAGGGAAAAAAGTCTATATAGAAGGGCAGCAAGGCACTCTAAGGTTTTGGGATCTTTAAAGAATCTTTAATATTTTTCTTTTAAAATAACGTTTTGAATTATTTTCTGCACAGACTCTTTTAGCGGTAGGCATTCTAAGAAATTGTATACTTTTTAATGCATTTGAACAAGTCTTTTAAAATCAATTATTTTTACGACTTTTTTTCAGTAAAATTTTTATCCCTAACTCTCGACAAAAGAAGAATTTTGCAAAAAAAAACTAATTTACGTTTCGTGACGTCGCACTATGTGCAGGCGCCTGATTGAACTGACTTTGAAACGTCTCGTGACGTCACACTATGTGCAGGCGCCTGATTGAACTGACTTTGAAACGTCTCGTGACGTCACACTATGTGCAGGCGCCTGATTGAACTGACTTTGAAACGTCTCGTGACGTCACACTATGTGCAGGCGCCTGATTGAACTGACTTTGAAACACGGCTAAGGGTAACGTGAGAACAACTTGATCACGTGAGACAACAAGTATTACTTGCAGGTGACTTGCATGTTCTGTGACCATTACGAGTATCGGCTGGGACGAGAAAGGGGACCGACGTGACTTGAGGCACGCTGGGTGTGAACGTAACTTGGAGATGGTATCGGTGGGTCGTTGAGCTCGAGCTCATAATACCCCCCCCCCCACAGCCCCACACGAGCCGACGCCGAGTCTCCCCGCCGCCAGACCGTGCAGAAGCACGTCGGAAACCTCCCCGCTGACGTGGGAGACGTTCGGTCGATTGAAAACGCTGCGTTTAAGGCATTCAAAGTCCACTCTCCTTGGGTCTGGATGGCTTTGCTTCCTCTACGGGGGAAAGGTGTTGCGTTACCTCCAACCACCGTCCAGGGAGTTGTCCGGTCGGGACGAAAGCTTGGACGAAACGGTCGCGTAGAAGCGGCTTTCTCAGGGTCGCGTAGCTAAAATCATCTGCAAGGGTTTTAATCCACCACCCAGGCCTCATATCCATTATCGGAAACAAGTCATCATGTTATTGCTTTACTCCTGTTGCGTTGGGAGTCATGCAAGTTGCCGGAGATTTTGGCTTAGGGAGGGGAACCTCCCTACTAGTCAGGCACGCCACGAAGAGGCAAACACCACATGACACCTCCGAGTCGACTAGATGGTACGCGACTCTGACTTCGAGACTGACTCTGAATGTCAGCACGGTGCATGCGCGACACGGCAAGATGGGGTCGCGTGAGGGGGACATAAATTACGCTGTATATGGATGTGAAAACGTGACATATTTGTGAATAGAAAGAAAGTCTTTAATCAAAACAGCAAAATTTACAGTTTATTTTTTAAAAATGTGTATGTCAACAACTGTGGTTTGTATCAGTAACTTCGAATAGCTAACTATGTGCTACTATTATTCAGCTGTCACATTATATGTTCACTTCTGAATTGATTATTTATCTTTGCTTTCGTCCTCACATTTAATGCACAATTTTTTTTCCAAGAATTGCAACATGGTCTTTCAACATGACCATAAACCTTGTCCGTTTCATCCATACTTTAGTGTGTCCCAGTTGCTTTGACCTAATATCAAATTAGCATGCCTAAATTCATACTGTTACAGAAACTAAATTTGTTTTTTTACTGGTTTTTGAACAATCATGGCACGTAATAAAACCCTTAATAAAATTGTCTTGCTCAATAAACAGTAGGGAAGGCTACCCTCTGATATTCGTACATGCATAGTGGAGATCACAGTCTTTGTAATTATAAATCCCCTCTTCGAGCTACGTACCTGTTCCGTAGCAACATACACGACACCGACATTTGGTTCTTGTGGGTCCGGTTGTTCCGTTAGTCTCAACGAGACAACTTGATCTTGGTAAGGAGCAGGTGAGGCATTTAAATAGCTGTGTATCTGGGCTGGATGCATTCTAGCGGAATGTGGGTGGGACGGATGTGGTTGGAAGTGATGTGGTTGTGACGGTTGATTTCGGGCAGACTTGGCAGCCATTGCTCGTAGATAGTCTTTGACGAAGTAGTGTCCAATGAATGGACGAGTTTTAACCTTCCGGTGCCTTCAGTGCGCGTAAAGGCGGCGGTCGTCGTAGGTCGTGGGGATGTCTTTGAATAACCTTGAACGAGCTGCGCCGTTTTCTTCGTATTCATTCTCTGAAGTACCATAGTAATCAAAGCCTCTTTGTTCAACCTGTTAAAGAAGAACAAATCTTCTTTGGACAAAGAAAATAAAGACAAATGCAAGTAACTTTAAAACTGGCGTATATAAACGGTTCAATGAATGTGTTTAATTTATTTTTTTTTAAATTAAAACTTTACAGAAATGTATCGATGATATGATATCAGTTGGCTGTAGTCACACAGGTACTTACATCAACCTCATGAAGCGTTCGATTTCTTCTGTTATTCTCGCTTGCATTCGGATCATGGAAGCTATTGTGTGGGAGTTCAGAATAAAGATATTCTTCCTCCTCTGCGTCTGTTGTGTTGATAAATTCTTGGGGAAATGAATTTTCTGTTGTACCTGGACTTTCATTATGATCGGCCATTGTCTAAGAAATCAGATAATTTTTATGTTAAAAAAGGTATTTTCTTGTCAGTGTTCAATGTTAACACTCACTTTTCTTTCAATGCTCCTACATTTAGATCATATGAGCATCCGCAAGAAGTATTATATTTCACTAACACTTCAGAAATGTGCTGTGGCTAATGTTGTCAAATATTGTAAATATGGTCTAACGCATATGTAGCGAGGGAGATATTTGTTTGTCGTTGTTGCTTTTTGCCGGGAGCTCTGGGTCATAACCAGGATCACGCAACCGCCAATGGTTCGGCGTCGTTTGCCTTGAATATTTTACAAATTTAATTTTTTAAGTAAATTGTTTATTTAGATAAATATTTGAAGAGTCACCAAAGTTCTTATGAGATCTAAATACCAACTCTTAAAATGAATACATATACACTTTTATCCACACTTCAAATATCACTTTGTACTTCACACCAGGAGCCACTCACCAACTATGCATTATTATTTCAATGACCACGCAGTCTTATGTCCAAAGGGGTTTATCAAAGATCCTTCGGTTCTTGTTAGTAGAAAACATCTATTTTAGTCACAGATAATAAGCAATCCTTTGTTCCGATTTGTTGCTAACATTTAAACAGCATATTATTTATGGGTAAAAACAACTTAATCAAGATTATTAAGTTTTAGCAAGCTGCTTCAAAAATCTTTGTCTGCCCTGGCGGCACCAACCCCGGCTACGCCACTGAAAAGCATCAAAGCTGTTAAGCACATTACATTAATTCCCTCACCTAAAGTTTTCTATCTACATTGTTCAAAAAAAGGTGGCTCTGAACTATCTAAAAAATAAATCTTTCATTCTCCAGAAAATGACGTTTAAGGGTTATTTTTTGTCTTAGATTTTTTTTCTTTTAAATAGTTTATATCTTTTTTTGTCAAACTGAAATGCATGAGATCACGACAAATATTTCACAAGAATTCTACAGACAAGAATCGACAGCAGTTAAGGGATTCGTATTTTAAAGACGAATAGTTGTATTAAAACCCTATATGTTTTACAATTCTATTTGAAACTGAACACTTTGTAATTTTGTTTTGGTGGCACTATGTAGTAGGAACCATAACATTTTAACGACAGTCTCTAATGCTTGAAAAAATAAATCACACCCACACCAGTCTTGATTTCAGAAGATATCCACGTCCCAACCCAAACCACCCACCCACCCAACCACCCACATACACACACACACGCACACGCCACACGCACACACACAGAGACACATACATAAACACACACAGACACACAGACCCCATATCGGCACGATAAAGAGATTGCTAAACCTGATTGTCGGAGTGGTCCAGCACCTTTCTGATACTGCTGACTGCAACCCCCCCCCCCCCGGGTATCCCCGGTTAAGAACCCCTGCATCGATCCAAACAAACGCCAACACAACATAAGGGGTCAAAGATTGAGCCCCGGTGAGTCACGAATTCAAAGCATTTCCGGTGTTCCAAGAAATAAAATAGAATTAAATCCGTGTCAACACGGTTACACACATTGTGACGCAAGTTGTAATATGTCAACAGAATGTAAATGTAAATGTCAACAGAATGTAAATGTCAACAGAATGTAAATGTGAACAGGATGTAATATACGAACAGGATGTAATATGTGAACAGAATGTAATATGCGGACAGGATGTAATATGTGAACAGGATGTAATATGTGAACAGGATGTAATATGTCAACAGAATGTAATTGTGAACAGGATGTAATATGTGAACATGATTTAATATGTGAACAGGATGTAATATGCGGACAGGATGTAATATGTGAATAGAATGTAATATGTGAACAGGATGTAACATGTGACCAGGATGCAATATGTTAACAGGATGTAATATGTGAACGGGGTGTTATATGTGAACAGGATACATTTGATCATATGGTTTGAAGCTGACTTTCTCAAAACTTCTGATATGCGTGTCCTATATTTCCTATCCGCCAAGAACAACTAAACTGGATAAAAGTGAAATAGAGTTAGCCATCGTTTGAAAAATATTTTAAAGAACTTGCAACGGCTACCATTAAATTATCATATCTATAACAGAGAGACTGTTTAGGCCCCAAGAATAAACAATATGGGCCCCCACACATATCAAAATAAATTTATCATCTAGTGTTTCTATTATTGTCTTTTGGGGGCCCCAAGAAATTAATTCCATTGCTTCGGCCTTAACACGACCCTGGTTACAGTTACTACGTCATACACGGCATTAGTTACAGTAACTAGAGTCCTACAAGTTCCTGGTTACAGTAACTAGAGTCCTACACTGTCCTGGCTACTAGAGTTCTACACATTCCTGGTTTGAGTTACTAGAGTTCTACGTGGCCCTAGTTACAGTTATTAGAGTCCTACACGGTCCAGGTTAAAGTAACTAGAGTCCTATACGGGCCCTGGTTACAGTAATTAGAGTTGTAAATGGCCCTGGTTACAGTAACTAGAGTCCTACACTGTCCTGGCTAGATTTACGAGAGCTCTACACGGTCCTGGTTACAGTTACTAGAGTCCTACGTGGCCCTGGTTACAGTAACTAGAGTCGTACATGGCCATGTTACAGTTACTAAGAGTCCAACAGGATCATGGTTGCAGTTACTAGAGTCCTGCACCATTATTCTCTTGCATTAGGTAATAGTTGATTTAAATTAATTTATGGCATCATGAAAGTCAATAAAATTAATCGGTCTTTTAGGTCTATCAAGCCACCTCCGTATACAGTGTCCAATTTAGTTCAAATCAGTATACAATGTGTAAATTGTCTATTAATTTATATTTTTTAAAGGGATTAATAAGAAGAAAAACAGATGAAAGAACTAATTAATTACCTTCCCAGAATGTGGCGTCGCGCATCAAATAAATTCTGCTATCAACTCTTGTTTTGAATTTTCTCACAAATATATAAATTAATTTTGTTTAGTTTTGTGAAATACTAAGAAATCGTCACCATTTGATTGCTGCACACTTCATACATTTATCTAGTCTCGCAAACATTATCTTCAAGCGAATTTTAAGTCAAACGGCTATAAAAATCTTACGAAGTTAGTAGTGTCCAAACTTCAGTGGCGTCTCAAACGTTTGTCTCAAGTCTCAAGCACAGCACGAATTAAGACGAATTATTGTGTGATTCTTCAGTACTTTTAAGTCATACTGTTACAATCTGGGGACTAAAAAAAAATCTTTCTTAAACAAACCTGACCTTGCCGAGCGGAATATACTTAACGTCTGCAGACAAAAATTCCTTTAAATATAGCCTTCCGGTTTTTCCAACCTCAAGCACTATTCAGTTGATCAATTCCATGTACTGTTGCAAAGGTTTAGAATTATAACAAATGGGATTTCGATAACGCAATAGGTTTTTTTTTACAGTCAAGAGTTAGCAAGAAAAAGAATTTTATTTGAAGGTTATTCCAACTTGGTGCAATTTATGAACTGCTTCGTTGATTAAGCTGGTACCAACGAGTTGGTTGTGTGGGGCTTCTGGTGGTGTGGGGCTGTTGTTGGTGTGGGGCAGTTGGTGGTGTGGGGCTGTTGGTGGTGTGTGGCAGTTGGTGGTGTGGGGCTGTTGTTGGTGTGGGGCAGTTGGTGGTGTGGGGCTGTTGTTGGTGTGGGGCAGTTGGTGGTGTGGCGCTGTTGTTGGTGTGGGGCAGTTGGTGGTGTGGGGTTGTTGGTGGTGTGTGGCTGTTGGTGGTGTGGGGCTGTTGTTGGTGTGGGGCAGTTGGTGGTGTGGGGCTGTTGTTGGTGTGGGGCAGTTGGTGGTGTGGCGCTGTTGTTGGTGTGGGGCAGTTGGTGGTGTGAGGTGGTGTCTGGCGTTCGGTCGTGTGCGCTAGCGGTCGGTGTGGGGCAGTTGTTGGTGTGGGGCAGTTGTTGGTGTGGGGCTGTTGTTGGTGTGGGGCAGTTGGTGGTGTGGGGCTGTTGTTGGTGTGGGGCAGTTGGTGGTGTGGGGCTGTTGGTGGTGTGGGGCTGTTGTTGGTGTGGGGCAGTTGGCGGTGTGAGGCTGCTGGAGATGTGGGACTGTTGGTGATGTTTGGCTACTGATGGTGTGAGCTGCTGTTGGTGGGGGGATGTTGTTGGTGTGGGGCTGTTGTTGAAGTGGGGCTGTTGGTGTTGTGTGGTTGTGGATGGTGTGGGGCTGTTGATGGAGTTGGGCTGTTGGTGAAGTGGGACTGTTGGCGTGGTGGTGCTGTTGTTGGTGAGGGGCTGCTGGTTGTGTCGGGCTGTTGGTGGTGTTGAGCTAATGGTGGTGTGGGCTGTTGGTGATGTGGTGCTGTTAGTGGTTTGCGATTTTTGGTGGTATGGGACTGCTGGTGGTATGGGGCTGTTGTTGGAGTGGTGCTGTTGGTGATGTGGGGCTGCTGGTGGTATGGGGCTGTTGTTGGTGTTGGGCTGTTAGTGATGTGGGGCTGTTGGTGGTGTTTGGCTTCTGATGGTGTGGTCTGTTTGTGGTTTGGGATTGCTGGTGGTGTAGAGATGTTAGTGGTATGGGGCAGCTGATAGTGTGTGTCTATTGGTTGTTTGGGGCTCTTGGTATTGTTAGGGCTCCTAGTGGTGAGGGGTGATATTGACGTTGGGTTGCTTTTGGTGTGGGGCTGTTTGGTGGTGTGGAACTACTGGTGGTCTGTGCTGCTGTTGTTGTGAGATTGCTGGCGATTTGGGGCTGCTGGTGTTTCGGGCTGTTGGTGGTGTGGGATTGCTTGCGTTGTGGGACAACTGGTGGTGTCGTGATGTTTGTGCTGTGGGGCTTCTTATGCTGTAGGACTCATTGTTATGTGGGCTGTTGGTGGTGTGGGGCTGTTGGTGGTGTGGGGCTGTTCGTGTTGTGGGACAACTGGTGGTGTTATGATGCTGGTGGTGTAAGGCTGTTGGTTGGGGTGGAGCGGTTGGTGGTGTGGAGCTACTGCAGGTGTGGGGCTGTTGGATGTGTGGGGCACTTTGTTGTGTTAGGAATGGTGTATAACAAAAACAATAATGGGTGTCGGGTAGATAAGTCTAAAAAAAAGTTGAAGTGCCCAATAAAAAGAAAAGGATTTCGTCACCACAGGTTTTAATATTTTTTTTATAAATATATATCCTTTTATGTTTTGGGTCAAGAGAACATAATATATATATATATATATACAAACATTAAAACGTCATTCGACAAAAGATTTATATTTAACGATATTCAAAGAAGTTAGCGTTACTGCACTCTGAAACAACAGCTCGCTTTCAAACCATGGTATACGGTATTCGTTTGAGACGCCTGCAGAAAATGGGTTATAGAATGAGCAGGTCAGCTTTGATTCGACTATGTGTATTTAATCAATGGTTACCATAGCACCTCATATAAGATGCAAACTCTCCGAGTAACAGGACAGCTTCTAGTTAGGATCAGGAAGCTATATAATTAGACTTTTTTCGTGTTTTTTCCGTAGCCTAAGTGGGGTCAGGAAGTTAGTGAGGGATTTGATGTAGAATCTGTTGTTTGCAGAAAATGCTGCAACTCGAGATATATATGTTTAAAAAGAAAAAGCTCCACGAAGTAAATCCCCATGTCTGCCCCCACTCTTTTCTCTTCTAGTGTTACACAGTGTTGAAGAGAGATAAACGAAAAATCCTTAATTGTTCTTAACTACCGGTCTTGTTTCATAACTCTTCAGCTCAAAGTTTTCATTCTAATGATATAATGAGCGAAAGAGCTACA